AATTACAACTCTGGACAGCGAATCAAACACAGTATAATATTGCAAAGACATGACACTACAGGCAGGGCAAGTATTTCTTGTCGATGCTCAAAACTACATTTTAAAACGATATTCTTGCAACGATTTTACACTACAGGCAAGGCAAACAGTTCTTGTCGATGCTCAAAATTATTATAGTAAAAGTATCTTCGAAATGAAAAACTGATATGCGGAAATGTAGATTGATTGTCCAGCCAGAATTAAAACCCTGGACAGCGAAACAAACAGTACAATATTGCAAAGAAATGACACTATAGGCAGGGCAAGTAGCTCTTTTCAATGCTCAAACTCTACGTTATCGAAAAAATCTTTGCAAGAATATGTTACTGACAAGAGGTAAAATTGTAGATTGATTATCCAGCCAGAATTGAAACCTTGGACAGCGATTCAAATAAAGTATAAAATTGCAACGATTTTACACTACAGGCAAGGCAAACAGTTCTTGTCGCTGCTCAAAATTATAATTTGAAAAATATCTTCGAAAATGTAAAACTGATATGCAAAATGTAGATTGATTGTCCAGCCAGAATTACAACCCTGGACAGCGAATCAAACAGTACAATATTGCAAAGATATGACACTACAGGCAGGGCAAGTAGCTCTTGTCGATGCTCAACACTACATTTTAAAAAGCAATTTTGAAAAGGTGTAACTGACAAGTGAAAATGTAGATTGATTATCCAGCCAGAATTACAACTATGGACAGCGAATCAAACACAGTATAATATTGCAAAGATATGACACTATAGGCAGGGCAAGTAGTTCTTGTCGATGCTCACAACTACATTTTAAAAAGCACTTTCGAAAATGTGTAACTGACCAGTGAAAATATAGATTGATTATCCAGACAGAATTGACATCCTGTAACGCGAATCAAACACCGAAAACGTTGCAAAGAGATGACACTTAAGGCAACGCAAGAAGTTCTTGTCAATGCTCAAACTCTACGTTATCGAAAAAATCTTTGCAAGAATATGTTACTGACAAGAGGTAAAATTGTAGATTCATTATCCAGCCAGAATTGAAACCTTGGACAGCGATTCAAATAAAGTATAACATTGCAACGATTTTACACTACAGGCAAGGCAAACAGTTCTTGTCGATGCTCAAAATTATAATAGTAAAAGTATCTTCGAAATGAAAAACTGATATGCGGAAATGTAGATTGATTGTCCAGCCAGAATTAAAACCCTGGACAGCGAAACAAACAGTACAATATTGCAAAGAAATGACACTATAGGCAGGGCAAGTAGCTCTTTTCAATGCTCAAACTCTACGTTATCGAAAAAATCTTTGCAAGAATATGTTACTGACAAGAGGTAAAATTGTAGATTGATTATCCAGCCAGAATTGAAACCTTGGACAGCGATTCAAATAAAGTATAAAATTGCAACGATTTTACACTACAGGCAAGGCAAACAGTTCTTGTCGCTGCTCAAAATTATAATTTGAAAAATATCTTCGAAAATGTAAAACTGATATGCAAAATGTAGATTGATTGTCCAGCCAGAATTACAACCCTGGACAGCGAATCAAACAGTACAATATTGCAAAGATATGACACTACAGGCAGGGCAAGTAGCTCTTGTCGATGCTCAACACTACATTTTAAAAAGCAATTTTGAAAAGGTATAACTGACAAGTGAAAATGTAGATTGATTATCCAGCCAGAATTACAACTATGGACAGCGAATCAAACACAGTATAATATTGCAAAGATATGACACTATAGGCAGGGCAAGTAGTTCTTGTCGATGCTCACAACTACATTTTAAAAAGCACTTTCGAAAATGTGTAACTGACCAATGAAAATATAGATTGATTATTCAGCCAGAATTACAACCCTGGACAGCGAACCAACACAACCATCTTGCAAAGATATGACACTACAGGCAACGCAGGTAGCTCTTATCGATGCTCAAACTCTATAAAAAAGCACCTTCGAAAATGTGTAACTGACCATTGAAACTGTAAATTGATTATCCAGACAGAATTGAAATCCTGTAGCGCAAATCAAACACCGTACACGTTGCAAAGAGATGACACTTAAGGCAACGCAACAAGTTCTTGTCAATGCTCAAACTCTACGTTATCGAAAAAATCTTTGCAAGAATATGTTAGTGACAAGAGGTAAAATTGTAGATTGATTATCCAGCCAGAATTGAAACCTTGGACAGCGATTCAAATAAAGTATAAAATTGCAACAATTTTACACTACAGGCAAGGCAAACAGTTCTTGTAGATGCTCAAAATTATAATTGTAAAAGTATCTTCGAAATGTAAAACTGATATGCGAAAATGTAGATTGATTGTTCAGCCAGAATTACAACCCTCGACAGCGATTTGAACAGTACAAAATTGAAAAGATATGACACTACAGGCAGGGCAAGTAGCTCCTGTCGATGCTCAACACTACATTTTAAAAAGCACTTTTGAAAAGGTGTAACTGAAAAGTGAAAAATTAGATTGATTATCCAGCCAGAATTACAACTCTGGACAGCGAATCAAAACATTACAATATTGCAAAGATATGACACTACAGGCAGGGCAAGTAGTTCTTGTCGATGCTCAAAACTACATTTTAAAAAGCACTTTCGAAAATGTGCAACTGACAAGTGAAAATGTAGATTGATTATCCAGCCAGAATTACAACCCTGGACAGCGAATCAAACAAAACCATCTTGCAAAGATATGACACTACAGGCAACGCAGGTAGCTCTTATCGATGCTCAAACTCTATATAATAAAAAGCACCTTCGAAAATGTGTAACTGACCATTGAAACTGTAAATTGATCATCCAGACAGAATTGAAATCCTGTACAGCGAATCAAACACCGTATACGTTGCAAAGAGATGACACTTAGGGCAACGCAAGAAGTTCTTGTCAATGCTCAAACTCTACGTTATCGAAAAAATCTTTGCAAGAATGTGTTACTGACAAGAGGTAAAATTGTAGATTGATTATCCAGCCAGAATTGAAACCTTGGACAGCGAATCAAACACAGTATAATATTGCAAAGACATGACACTACAGGCAGGGCAAGTATTTCTTGTCGATGCTCAAAACTACATTTTATAACGCACTTTCGAAAATGTGTACCTGACAAGTGAAAATGTAGATGGATTATCCAGCCAGAATTACAACCCTGGACAGCGAATCAAATAAAACCATCTTGCAAAGATATGACACTACAGGCAACGCAGGTAGCTCTTATCGATGCTCAAACTCTATATAATAAAAAGCACCTTCGAAAATGTGTAACTGACCATTGAAACTGTAAATTGATCATCCAGACAGAATTGAAATCCTGTACAGCGAATCAAACACCGTATACGTTGCAAAGAGATGACACTTAAGGCAACGCCAGAAGTTCTTGTCAATGCTCAAACTCTACGTTATCGAAAAAACCTTTGCAAGAATATGTTACTGACAAGAGGTAAAATTGTAGATTGATTATCCAGCCAGAATTGAAATCTTGGACAGCGATTCAAATAAAGTATAAAATTGCAACGATTTTACACTACAGGCAAGGCAAACAGTTCTTGTCGATGCTCAAAATTATAAGTTGAAAAGTATCTTCGAAAATGGGAAACAAATATGCGAAAATGTAGATTGATTATCCAGCCAGAACTACAACCCTGGACAGCAAATCAAACAGTACAATATTGCAAAGATATGACACTACAGGCAGGGCAAGTAGCTCTTGTCGATGCTCAACACTATATTTTTAAAAGTACTTTTGAAAAGGTAAAACTGAAAAGTGAAAATGTAGATTGATTATCCAGCCAGAATAACAACTCGGGACAGCGAATCAAACACAGTATAATATTGCAAAGATATGACACTACAGGCAGGGCAAGTAGTTCTTGTCGATGCTCAAAACTACATTTTAAAACGCACTTTCGAAAACGTGTAAGTGACAAGTGAAAATGTAGATTGATTATCCAGCCAGAATTACAACCCTGGACAGCGAATCGAACACAACCATCTTGCAGAGATATGACACTACAGGCAACGCAGGTAGCTCTTATCGATGCTCAAACTCTTAATAAAAAAAGCATCTTCGAAAATGTGTAACTGACCATTGAAATTGTAAATTGATTATCCAGACAGAATTGAAATATTGTACAGCGAATCAAACACCGTATACGTTGGAAAGAGATGACACTGGAGGCAACGCAAGAAGTTCCTGTCAATGCTCAAACTCTACGTTATCAAAAACTCTCTGCAAGAATGTGTTACTGACAAGAGGTAAAATTGTAGATTGATTATCCAGCCAAAATTAAAACCTTGGACAGCGAATCAAATAAAATATAACATGTCACCGATTGGACACTACAGGCAAGGCAAATAGTTCTTGTCGATGATCAAAATTATATATTAAAAAGGAACTTGAAAAGGAAAATGTGAAACTGACATGTGAAAATAAAGATTGATTATCCAGCCAGGACAGCGAATCAAACACAGTATAATATTGCAAAGATATGACACTACAGGCAGGGCAAGTAGTTCTTGTCGATGCTCAACACTACATTTTAAAAAACACTTTAAAAATGGTGTTACTGACAAGAGGTAAAATTGTAGATTGAAAAGCACCATCGAAAAGCACCTTCATTTCAGAAAGCACCATCGAAAATGTGTAACTGACAAATGAAAATGTAGATTGATTATCCAGCCAGAATTACAACCCTGGACAGCGAATCAAACACACAACCATCTTGCAAAGATATGACACGGCAAGTAGTTCTTGTCGACGCACAATTCAGTACATTGTCAACCCAATAAAACAAGAAGAAATGATATTGTCACAACAAAAGAAAATGTACTCCCATATCCAAAAAAATATTGCCCATTGCAGAAGAAAAGATATTACCCATACGAGAAAACATAAGTCTATACGCATATTCCTTTAGATTTCAATACACTTTTTTTGTCACTGAAGAAAATAAATATGAATACCTTCTATCAGGTAACACAGGGGCCTCGCTGGTCTCCAAAATAGCATGAAAACTTTGCAACGGAGTAGTTTCGTCTGCACTCAAAAGTTGAAATTGATTTTGATCTGAATGAAAGAGCGTCTGCGTTTTAGCATAGCCAGTCACACTGGCTGCACTTGATGCGAAATGTTTGAGGTGAATTGCAATTAGGGAGCTGTCTGATGTTCGGCTTTGAGTGGCATAGTGTTCTCGGCTAATGCGGTAGTTGTCGTTGATTCTTGCGAACGTTTTTGTCTCAGCAAAGGTGTATGACTCAGGTAGAGGAAGCATGTAAGAGGGAATGAAAGGAGGCTGAAACAAAATGTGCCCAAATAAGTACCGCAACAATCTATTTACTTCACACCAGTTTCAGTCATAGCCTCATATGCTTAGATCAGATTTGGCCAAAAACATTCCACAAATAAATTATCGCTCATATTGGTCAAAAAATCAAAATGTTATCATAATTCCATCTATTGTTTCAAATTAATTCTCAGCGTAAATGCCTTAGGCATTTCAGCGAAATAGTCAATCATTTCGAGATTTTTTTTAACCTTCTCTATTTGATTTCCAATCTTCAGTCTCTTCGGGTCCGGTTGCCTGGCCTCTAATTCCGGGTTACTCACAGTCGGCATCTTAGAACCAGTCAATAGACACTTCTGCTGGGTTTGCTGGTAGTATTGGGGTAATGCACTCACATTAAACCCGATTGACACCAGGGCAGCTATGATGTCATCTGGCAGAAGCGATTGTCTGTTTGCGTGTTCGGCATAACGCCGAGTGTTGCTGGCAGTCTCGATTAGAAACATCTTGAGGATAGATGCAAGCGCCTAAACGTTTAAGTTAGGACCTTTAAAAAATTACGAGCTACAGAAGTTTTAAGGTGCAACCCAAACTATTCGTCTTTTAGGGTAACGCTTTTCAGGGACTGTATTACCAACTTTCCCACATAGGGAAAGAAAAATACGTTTACACGTCCAAAAATAAGGACCATAGCCAGCAGACAGTTGGAAAAGTGTCAACAAACTCAATGAAACTGGAACTAATTTTATCAATTCCTAACAAAGTAAATGTTGAAAAATTTATGAAAGATAACTTTTATGATTTACACCTTAACGATTAAAAAGCCCGATTCGACAAAATTGGATAAAAAATTAACCACGAAATGCAAAAATTATACTTCACGAAAAAAAAAATTACGCGACCTAATGTGTCTTCACTTGGTTCAATGATTTTAAAAATAATGCTTTGTTATCAATTTGAAGTACCTCAATGAACTTTGGAGTGACTGAGTTGACGTCGAGAGATCTGAGGATGCATGCACAGGCCGAGATCAGACTCTTGTCAAACTGCTCTCCACTGATGGCACACATTTGAATCTAGAACAAGAATAATTTATTTCTCATCGCAGCAATTATACACTATTGAATATAACACAATCAAATATGAGCAAGTATGAGAGGACAGCTGACGAACCCATAAGGGTTGCTAGAAGCTGCCCTGAAAATACAGACGCAGGTGACAATCCAAATAAAATTTAGATGACGGCAAACGACACAATTTAGGCGCTGTTGACTAAATCTTATGATTTTTATTTTGAATTTAGAAATAAGCCTTCGCATAGAAAGTCGAAACCTTGCAGAAAAAAAGAAACAAGTATATACAGAACAATTTCTCTCGAGTCATTTCAGTTCAGGTGCTAACTACCAAAACAACTCACCAGGCAAAACACCAACACAAGTTCCGCAGAAAAAATTCGAGCCGACCCCAAACAGCAACAAAGTTTGCAATGAATGATCCCTCGCACATGCTCGGTTTTAACCACATGCGTGCGAAACTTGAAAATTCCTTCTTTAAAGGACTGAGCAAGAGGCAACTAAAAATCTCACCGGGAGCTCTATTGCCGAACAAAATAAGTAAACTGAAAAAATTGGTTTTTACCTTGAGTTAAGATTATGTAAATTTTCATAAAACTGCCCGTGCCACCCTTTTCTACCACTCCTAGCTGTCACCACTTCATACAGTTACCACTTTGCTACAAATCTGTTCAATGAAAAGTCTAGATCCCGCTTCCAAGACACTTGCTCTCGCAATGAGAATTAGTTAACAAAAAGTTCGAAGCGGCAACTAAAGCGACCAAGATTGAGTAGATCCACGCTCTAACAAGAAAAATGAGGTGTCAATTCATTCAAAACTTGGAGTCAAAATATCACTGGCCAGCATTTGAACATAAAACGAGAGGGATTTCAACAATCAGGAAACATATCATCTTCCTGCATCTAAAAATGCTGACTGCTAGGCCTTGAGAAGGAAGCTACACGGAAAGAAGTTTAGTTAAAACAGCCCTGAAAAAATTAAGCGCATAAAAACACAAGTTTAGAGTTTACGGTACTGAGTCGAGCCCCGGCCTCCGGCTGAAAGGTACTCAATTTTAATTTTATATTATGACTACTTGAAATCGATCAGATTCTTTGATTAAAAACTTTCGTGTAACAACATATATACTAATTTTGAGGTGAGAGCGCGCACCAAAAAAAATGCATTTTTTTGGACAAAATTTTCCAAAAAGTGCCTAAAAACGCATTATTTGGGCCTGTTTTTTTTGGAAAATTTCGTCAAAACGGGGTCTATATAGTGATTTAGTAGAGCTCAGAAAATCAATTTGTTTGGACCTAAAATTTTAAAATCTTTTCTTGAAAATCCGCCCCCTCGAGAAAATCCTAGATCCGCCCGTGGTCGATAATAATACTAAAACAGCCTTGCTTATCACAAAGGTAATTATCTATATTTTACATCAATTTTCCTTCTACCTGGATTTTTTTATTGTAAAAAGGCACTAGGAAAAATTTCAAAACAAAAAGTTCGAAGTGGCAACTAAAGCGACCAAGATTGAGTAGATCCACGCTCTAACAAAAAATGAGGTGTCAATTCATTCAAAACTTGGAGTCAAAATATCACTGGCCAGCATTTGAACATAAAACGAGAGGGGTTTTAACGATCAGGAAATATATCATCTGCATCAAAAAAAATGACTGTTAGGCCTTGAGAGATTGCTACACGGAAAGAAGTTTAATTTAAAAAAGCCCTGAAAAAATTAAGGGCATAAAAACACAAGTTTAGAGTTTACGGTACTGAGTCGAGCCCCGGCCTCCGGCTGACTACAAACGACACAATTACACCAGTAAAAATGGCTTTACACCAGTAAAGCCATTTTACTGGTGTAAAACTACTTCTTCATGGCTTAACTTGAATTATATTATATGAATTAGGCTTATTTAAGCCTATATTAGGACCTCGCTAGCTTTACTCGCTCGAAATTAGACTGAAATTAAAAAGAAGCGCGTAACGGAACTCTGTTGTTTCAAGCAGATAAGTGAGCAATGAAAGTTGATTATACATTATTTCAATGAAAAAAAAACGAAATGAATGCAACCGTAAAACAAAAAGGTGAATCAAGCAACTCTTTTCATTTCAAAATTTGAACAATAAAAACATTTCTGACTTAAAGGTTTGTTAAACTAAAATGGTGAAAACTGCAAAACTAACGGGTTTCAGATCTTCGTTAATGAAATTCTGAAATAGCCGACAAGATACAACTGCCTTTTAAGAAAATTTCATAAATGGGAGACATTATCCAATGTGATTGGTTTTAAAATATCATACTCTTTTTTCTCTATTTAATTTTAGTTTAATGAAAAAAATTGAGCGATAAAATTAAGATGAGGCCATATATGCATTCGCTGGTAGTAATCTGACATCACTCCACCAAAGGGTCAGAAATTTCAAATTTTTAAGTATATATTTTCGTAGTTTTTAGATCGTAGTTTTTAGAAAATTTTTGAAAAAACATAAAAACGGCATATCTCAGGAACTAAGATGACTTGACCAATTATTTTTTGGTAGCTAGATCTGCAACTTCTGAGGATACCTAGAGAACAAAAAAAAATTTTCAATTCAAGAAAAGTATTGAAAAAACGTCATATCTCGAAAACCATTGGCATTTGAGCAATAACTTTTAGAGGCACAATTTGCAACGCCTGAGTTGAGAAATTAATTTCAAAACTATACTTGGGAATTTGATTAGTTTGATAGTGAAAAAAAATCATAAAAACCTAACATCTCGAAAACTACAAAAATTCGAGCACTTAAATTTGGACACAAGATTTGCAACCCCTGAGATTACCCTGAGACAATCCAATTACAGGCTTGAGAAATTCAGCTTTTGACAAGTTTTAGCATAATTTCTTTGAAATTTATTGAAAAAATTATTTAAAAAAACGTTATATCTTGAAAACTCAAAGGGTTCAAGCAGTCATATTTGGAGGCAAAATTTGCAATCCCTGAGATTACCTTGACAGCACCAAGTTACCCGGTCAAGAATTTCAATAATTTTGGACTTACATAAATCAAAATTTGATGAAAATTTTCGAAAAAATTACAAGAATCTTTGTATCTACGGTAACCCTGACATCAACCCACTTTTGCGTTGCTAATTTCAAACTTGGCGAAAAGAACACAAATTCAATCTAGAGCAACTAAAAAAAAATTTAAGCGTTGCACTATACGAGATAGTTTAAACGTGCAAACATATGCTAAGACGCTTAACCATGGTAAAGATAGCGTAAATATTGCGAGATACGTGTCACAGACATTTAAATATAGTAGATTTTTAAACCGATGGGAAAACTTTTTGATGTCATTTGAATCACGGCTGAAAAGGCTTTTTTTATGATACATCACTCGACTCATTGCGATGATTATTTATGGTACCTGATTTCGCTTCGTGAAAAACAAACCTAAAACACACCCGAATACTAAATTTTTCCCCATTTTTAATAGTCGGAGCAGAAAAATGACAATCAAATCAGCCAGTTATACCACATTTTTCACACAGAGGCGAAGCTGCGCTACGCAAACACAAGCGAGGAAAATGCAAAAACGAACTCTAAACAGACAAAACGAAGTCAAATAGGGAAAACATTTTTTAAAAAAAAACACCCTACTCCACACAATTACTCCACCACAGCTTGTAATTTGGATGACACTAGCTAACAATGAAGCAGCTATAGTTTTTATCAAATTGCCAATGTTATGTAGCTAAATTCGACAAAAAAAAAATAAAAATATTTAAATGTTCCGGATTTGAATATCCGACCTAATGAGTCTCACGTACTCGTGTCTGCACCACGGTTGCTTGGAAGTTAACAAGTGGCCTAACTAATGCTGGATCTAGCTATTCTAAGGTTTGTAATCATATATTGTACTGATAAACAAGTTATTTTCAAAATGTGAAAAAGTAGACTTTACGCTAAACCCTATTGATTACCTGCTTAAGTAGGGGATAAGTCGCTTATTTAAAGGAGAAAACTACTATTCGCTTTTCCAATTGAACTTTTTATTTCAGATGTCGCTGGGTAATTATCGAAAAAAAAGGTTTCCAAAAATCGATAAAAAAATGGATTTTTCCTAAGCCCATAATATTTTTTTTCTACTAGAGCATGGCAAAAACCTCTGTTTTCCACATCTTTTTATTGAACATTTCCGCACCTTGATTTTTTAGATTGAACCCTTAATATCAGATTTAGCTAGAAATTTTCGAGCATTGTGACGAAATTTCTAAAAAAAAAAGCGGTGAAAAAACAAAAAAGGTTTTCTCCAAAGTCCATATCAGCTTTTATACAAAAAAAGGTACGAGTGATTGAGCAGGAAAAATTTAAGCACCATGTTAGTTTAAATGAACTATAAATCTCAAAATCAGCAGGCTCACATTTCAAAAATTGAATATTTTCTAAGGCACATAGAAGAGCAGCCATTGGTACAGTTTTTTTGAAAATCGGTACTGTAGTTTTTGAGAAAATTGAAAATTTCCAAAGCCTCGCAAAAAAAACGAAACAACAAATTCCATACATTTTCATAATACCTGTTTTTTTCTAACAGTACCTAACACTAGCCTAACATAAAGCAGCAACATATGCCATTAAATTGGTTATGCTCACAATGAAATATACCAAAATGCCACCAAATGAGCACTTCTAGTTGCGACTTAGGTAAGAAAAAACTCTTCGTAATAATACACTACGCGCTGCTTGTGTAAAAACTATGTTTTCAAGATAGAACCTTTTTTTTGTATCATCTTTTTGAAAATCGTTGCATTAATTGTGTAAAAACTATGTTTTCAAGATAAAACTTGACTCATTCACCAAAATGCTTTTGATACAAAAATCTTATTTGAGTCATTTAAAACTACTTACGATGTTGAGACAACTCCGCTTACGTTTATTTATTTATATTTTTGATTTCGAATAAAATGAATCGACAAAGCATTTAAATTATTCATTGTCCTATTAGAAGAAAATCAGAGATCTGATTTACTGTT